TTTTTTAGATTTATTTTTTTAAGTATTTATATAGAAGTAAAAAAATGTTGTTAGGAATAAATTTTTCCTTAATTTAGTTATAAATTTTGCCCGTACATTAGTTTTAAATTTTGAATAAAAACAAATATAAAATAACTGATTGAAGATATACTGCATTTGTTATATTTCCTTTTCTGTATGCCAAAAAAAATTAAAAATCACAATTCACATATATACAAATAATTATAAACATAACCCGTGCATAGCACGGGAGGAATACTAGTATAGGTAATACACAAGGGGAGGTCTCAAAATCTTAATATCCTGTTTCAAATAGTTATGATGAGTCAGTAAATTTCTAGATTTCGATACATTAGGAGCTTATTTGATTGGGTGAATTATAGTATAAATTTGAGATTATTAATTATGGGGATTTACGTTCTAGTGTTTGATTAATTTTTGTTATCCACATTAGATTTGGATAAATATTTTATCAACAAAATTGATTAATTTTTTAATCTTCGAACTAATAATGCAAAACAAATATAAAATTAAAATTATATATTTTTATACTCATTGCAAAATATATGTGAATTAGGGATTGTTTAGACTACTAATCCTGAATAACTAGTTATGAACTAATTTTATAAATTATTAATCTCATAACTATTAATTCTGCTCATCAAGTAGCACATAACATTCTCACATGATCTTTGTTTTCGGCAGCTTCATTTTATTTTCCTCACTGTCTGATGCTGACTCATCCACCCCTTCTTCCTAGCAGCTTTCTCCATACCCAAGAAGTCTCTCTAATTAATATATATAATCCATGGTTGCCTTGACAGATAGCATTCAACTCTTAGCCCTTCTGTCCTTAGTCGGTCTTTCTTGAACTTTAATAGCCAATGGAGATTGTAAGAAACCAAAAAGCCTCCTCTTCCACTTCTCAATGTAGTTATCAGGTGTTCTTGAGCTTCAGAGGTGAAGACACTCGTAAGGCATTCGTTGACCACCTCTACACAGCTTTAGTACAAGCTGGATTTCTCACCTTCGGAGATGACGATGGGATTGAAAGAGGGGAAGGTATTAAGTTTGAGTTGCAGAAAGCTATTCAAGGGTTAAGAATTTCAATAGTTGTCTTCTCAAAACACTATGCATCTTCAAGTTGGTGCCTTGATGAACTTGTAATGATCGTCAAGGACAGGAGGATCTCGGGACATGTAGTCCTACCTGTGTTCTATCACGTGGATCCATCTCACATGAGGAATCGAACCGAAAGTTTCGAGGAAGCATTCAAGAAACATGAAGAGAGATTCTAGGCGGAAGAAGTGGGTGAAAGACCAATAATCATACAAATCAAATAAAAAAGAATCCCAAAACAAATAAAGGGAGAAAGACCAATATACATAATACACAAGGCGAGATCTCAAAACCTTAATATCTTGTTTCAAATAATTATGTCCTCCATCAAAACACTCAAAGTCATTAAATTTCTAGATTTCAGTACAGTAAGAGCTTATTTGATTGGTATAATTTTGAGATTATTAATTATTGGGATTTACATTCTAGTGTTTGATTAATTTTTGCTATCCACATTAGATTTTGATAAATATTTTTTTAACAAAATTGATAGATTTTTTAATCTTCGAACTAATAATGCAAAACAAATATATAATTGAAATTATATATTTTTATACCCATTGCAAAACATATGTGAATTAGGGTCCTAATTTTATAAATTATTAATCTCATAACTATTAATTCTGCTCATCAAGTAGGACATAACATTCTCACATGATCTTTGTTCTCAGCAGCTTCATTTCATTTTCCTCAGTGTCTGATGCTGACTCATCCACCCCTTCTTCCTAGCAGCTTTCTCCATACCCAAGAAGTCTCTCTAATTAATATATATAATCCATGGTTGCCTTGACAGATAGCATTCATCTCTTAGCCCCTCTGTCCTTAGTTGGTCTTTCTTGAACTTTAATAACCAATGGAGATTGTAAGAAACCAAAAAGCCTCCTCTTCCACTTGTCAATGTAGTTATCGGGTGTTCTTGAGCTTCAGAGGTGAAGACACTCGTAAGAGAGATTCCAGGAGGAAGAGAGATTACAGGAAGAAGTGGGTGAAAGAAAGAATAACTGGAAGAAAAAGATAGAAGAATCCTCAAAACCTGGAGGCTGAATCATGAATACTTCTTCTTCAAGACGGCCATGAAGAAATGCATTGGAAATGTCTAACTGTTTAAGAGACCACTGATGGTGAAGGGTAAGACAAAGTAAGATTCGAATAGTGGGTTGCTTAGCCACTGGATTGAAAGTCTCATGAAAATCTATACCCTCTTGCTGCAGGTACCCTTTGGCAACCAATCGTGCCTTATACCTTGCATAGTGCCATCAGAATTTCGTTTAATCTTGAAAATCCATTTACAGCCGATGGCAGTTTTGTTAGATGAAAGAGACACCAAAGACCAAGTATGTTGTTGCTGAAGAGAAGAGAATTCTTCAAGCATAGCTTGATGCCAAACAGGAGACAACAAAGCTTCTTTGTACGAAGGAGGTTCAGCATTAGTGTAGGAAGCAATGGCAGTGACAGGGGAAGCAATCAAACAGTAAGGAGTAGCAGTAGCAGCAGATTTGGATCTGGTAATCATAGGATGCTGATTAGGCTGAGAAGGAGGGAGAGGAGGTAACTCAATAGAAATGGACTGAATAGGAACTGCAGACATTGTTAAAGAAGAAGGAGAAACTGCAGAAGCTGGTAAAGAAGAAGTAGAAGAGGGAATAGGAACTGTAGACATTGGGAAAGAAGAAGGAGGAACTGCAGAAGCTGGTACTGAACTAGAGAAGATATGAGAACCAATAGAAGAAGAGGAAGAAGGCCAGAAAAAAGATTGAATATCAGGTAATGTTGTTGGTAATGTTGTTGAAGAGGATTGAGAAGATGTAGAAGAAGCCAGATGAGCAAAGGGAAACATGTGCTCATTAAAGACCATATGTCTAGACAGATAGACTCGACCTGCGAGTGGGTCAAGACATCGATACCCTTTAGCAAAAGGATGATAGCCTAGAAAAACACAGGACACAGATTTAGGATGTAGCTTGAGAGGCTGATAAGGCTTAAGCCAAGGGAAACATTGCCAACCAAATATGCGAAAATAAGAGTAATCTGGAGTGTATTGAAAAAGCTTTTCAAAAGGAGATTTATGTCCAAGCTTAGAAGAGGGAAGTCTATTAATAAGAAAAGTAGAAATAGCAATAGCATCAAACCAGTATTGTAAGGGCACAAATGAGTGATGAAGAAGCGCAGTAGCAGTTTCAGTGATATGCCGATGTTTCCTCTCAGCAGTACCATTCTGAGACGGAGTATGAGGACAAGAGTGTTAGTGAATGACACCTTGGGTACTCAAGAAAGATTTCATTTAATTAGTAAAATATTCAGATCCTCCATTAGTTCTCAGAATTTTTAATGAAGTATGAAATTGTTGTTCAATATAAGCCTTGAATTTTATGAACCTGTCACACACTTCACTTTTATAAGATAATGGAAAAAGCCAAGTAAATCGACTAAAGTCATCCACAAAAAGTAAGTAGTATTTATAACCAGAGGTAGAAGAATATGGCCCCCATACATCACTATGGATAAGAGAAAGAGGAGCATTTACAGTAGTATTAGACAATTGAAAAGGAAGTCTATGACTTTTAGCTATGCAACAATCAGTACAAGCAGATGCCATTTTATTTTGTGAAACTTTCAACAATGGTTTAAGATGATTATACTTCACTAAGGAAGGATGTCCTAATCTATTATGCCAAACAGAGGAAGAAACAGGTGTATGTGATGTACTAAAGTAAGAATTATGGACAGATGAATCAGCAGGCATCACAGATGTAGAAGGAGAGTAAAAATGGTATAGGCCATTGGTACTAGAACCCTGATGAAGAATTCTCCTCGAATCCTTGTCCTGAATCACAAATTTAGAATCATCAAAGGTAATGAGGCAATTATTGTCCTTAGTAAATTTGTGAACTAACAGAAGGTTAGAAGAAATTGAAGGAGTATGTAAAACATGATTCAATTGAAAAGAACAATGAGGTGTAGGAAGCAGTCCCTTACCAGTGTTGTGAATGGGAACTGTATTTCCATTACCTACAGTGATCTGATCTGAGCCTTGACAGGGTTGTGCTTGACTGAGATGTTGAAGATCATGTGTGATATGATCTGTAGCAGCAGAGTCCAAGTACCACGGTGTTTGAGGGATAGAATCAGCTACTGATTGAGTTGCAACAACAAATGCTCTAGAGCTAGACTCAGAAGGATGCTGAGAACTAGAGGAAGATTGATACTGAGAATCCATCCGATACCAGCAGTCTAATGCAGAATGACCAGAACCTCCACAAATCTGACAAGTTATAGATCGACCTCTGCTGCGAGAAAAACCTCCTTGATCAGGAAAATTCCTGTAATTGGTGAAATTAGATCCAGATCTACCACCACCACGAGGATGGCCTCTGTAAGAGTGACCACCCCTATTGCCTCTGTAAGAGTGACCTTTGAAGCCAGACGAACGACCTCTGAGATTAGAATTAGAAGAACCTCGAACTGAAGAGCAGGCCATAGTAGGTTCAGAAGAAAGTTTCTGAAGTTTGGATTCAATATGAACAACTTCAGAAAGAAGAAAAGCAGTCAATTCTTCCATGGAAATTAACTCTGATCTGGCTCGAATGGTAGTCTTGAAGGCATCATACTCATCGGGAAGACCATTCAAGGTAAGCAAAACAAGATCTTCATCATCCATAAATGAAAAAACAAGAGCCAATTGACTGACCAAGTCTTTGATCTTGGAGAGATAATTCTCCATCGAATCTGTTTTCTTAGAAATGCTGTTTAATTTGTTCTTCAACAGATGAATATGAGATCTAGAAAGTGAAGTGAATCACTTATGTAAAGCAGTCCAGATCTCAGCACAGCTATGAAGATGAAGAACGGATGAATAGATTGCAGGTGACAGAGTTACAGTAATGCAACTGAGCAGGTATGCATCAATAATTTTCCATTGCATGTATTCAGGATTGTCTTTTTTTGAACCAGAAAAATCTGTAATTCTCATTTGTGGACATGGTAGAGTTCCATCAACAAATCCAAGAAGACTAGTAGCAATGAGAATATTCTGCACTTGATTTTTCCATATCAGAAAGTTTGATGCATCAAGCTTGATGGTGATGAATGAAGAAAGGTTCGAAATTAGTAATGAGAGATTTGGAGGAAGTGCGGTTGAAGCCATGAGAGAAGATAACAAAGGAGTAGAAGGAGCCATAGATCAACTCGTAAGAGAGAGATGCTCTGATACCATGAAGAAATGCAGAAACTAAGAACTTTTTATTATTCAATTTTTCAGAGATACACCAGATGATGATTTACAATGCTTATATATAGACTTGTATGTAAGTTCTAGGTTGTTACAACTGAGTGATAGTTACAACTATATGGCTGAGGTGGAAGGAGCTTCGGGAAGCTTCTTTTTGCAGCTGGAATAACATAATCAGTTGAAGCAGTTTTGCTGGCAACAGTTGTAACAGAATCAGTTGAAGCAGTGGAACTGCTATGCAGCTTCAGCTCAGTATCTTCAATACACTTTACTCTCCTATGATTCAAACATAGTCAGAAAACCCCCATGTGGCTTTGGAGTAATGCTACCATTAGTTTTTTCATCCAAAACTAATGGAAAGTGTATTATACACATCATTTTTTTTGAGTGAGTTTTGTTTTCTTCATAAATTAGAATGAAATTAATACAACAAAAGGACAATTTTATCCCCATTTTCTCCAAACCTAAAATTAGATTAATATGTTAATTAAAATATAATTACTAAATAAAATATAAAATAAAAAATAATTAAGAATTAATCTAAAATGTAATTAAATTAAAATTAGATTAACATGCTAGAAATTATAATAATAAATAATTAAGAATTTGATTACTTGTGATCTAAAATATAATTAAATTAAAATTAGATTAAAAAGTTAGTAATTACAATAAATAGTTAAATATTTAGAATTAATTGTGATCTAAAATATAATTAAATTAAAATTAGAATAAAAAATTAAGAATTACAATAAATAATTAAGAATTTATAAATAATTTTGATTTAATTGAATTAGTACTAGTAGACATTATAAATTATGTGTATGAGAGATGAGAGAAAAAGAAAATAACAAAAAATATAAGGTTTCAAGGTATTATATATAGTAATTTCACATCTATAATTAACGAGGTTAACGGTTGTATTTTGGTCAAAAATCACATGGGAGAGACCTTCGTATAAAGACTTTCGTATTTAAGTCTTTTTTATCTATGTGCCCGTGCATTGCACCTTTGCACAAACTATTATCAGGATAATATATAAGTCTTTTTAGTTTATTCGGACCACTCATGCAGTGTTCTTTAATTACTTTTCATTTAATTGCAACTTGTAGGTATGAGTCAATATTTATTCAAAAAAACGTCAAAAAACTTGGGGATAAGTTGAATTGCCGAATCTTGCATGTTGCGGACCACCTAATTGGAATGGAATCTCAAGCTAAAAAAATTGATTTGTGGTTAAGGGATAAGTCATGTGATGTTAGCATAGCAGTGATTTGTGGAATGGGTGGAATAGGGAAGACCACCCTTGCCAAATATGTCTATAATTTACACTTTCAGAGATTTGAAGCTGCTAGCTTTCTTCTACATGTTAGAGAAGAATCAAAACGACCTAGTGGTTTAGTTGGTTTACAAAAGCAAATTTTATTAGCCATTTCAAATAAGAAAGAGAGAAAAATAAACATTGAGCTTGAAGGAAGAGAAAGGATTGAAAATGTCATGGGTTGCAAAGGGATTCTTGTAGTACTTGATGATGTGGATGAGCAATAACAGTTTGATAATCTTATTGGAAAGCTTGATTTGATTCATCGAAGAAGTAAAATTATCTTAACCACTAGGAACAAGCATTTGTTAAAGACTAATGAAGTTTATATATTTAAGATAAAGGAGCTTGATTCTAATAAATCATTGGAGCTTTTTAGTTGGCATGCTTTTGGACAAGACCATCCCCTTGAAAGATACTTTGCTCATTCACAAAGTGTAATGTGGCATTGCAGAGGGCTTTCTTTGGCTCTTAAACTTTTGGGTTCTTCTCTGTCTGACAAAAGATTAGACATATGGAAAAGTGCATTACAAAAACTAAAAAATAATCCTGAGAAACGCATACTGGAAATATTGAAAATAAGTTACGACACTTTGGATGACCATGACAAGAATTTATTCCTTTATATTGCTTGTTTATTTAACCAAAGGGGCAAAGATTCCACCGTTAGAATTCTAGATGCATGTGATTTCTGCTCAGAAAGAGGCATGGATAATCTCATTGACAGATGTCTCTTGACGTTTACACAAAAGATATTGATGATGCATCATTTGCTTCAAGACATGGGAATATACATTGTTCGACAACAATCATCCAATGAGCTGGGTAAATGTAGATTGTTGGGGTGCCACGAGGATTCCTTTAATATATTGAGGAGAAAAATGGTGAGAAACATGCTTTTCAAATACTTAATTAAGTTTTGTTTAATGTTCTCTTCTTATCATAATTAATGTTTTTTCTTATCAGGGAACAAAAAAAATTGAAGGCCTCTACCTTGATATGCATGTTTTAGAGAAAGAAAGTTGGTTCAACAAAACCTTTTGTGACTTGGAAATTGCATTTGCGAGTATGGAAAATCTTATATTGCTCATGCTCAATGGTGTTGAAATCAAGGGAGGATACACGGAATTTCCTAAGAGATTAAGATGGTTGTCTTGGCATGGATATTCTCAAAAATCCATACCAAGCGATTTTTCTTTAGAGAGTCTAGTTGGTCTTGAATTGTGGAATAGCAAGTTGGAGCATGTTTGAAAGGGAACCAAGGTACTATTAAAGAAATTCCATATTTATTTTCATTATCTTTTCTTTTGAAGATTAACATATGAATTTTGAAAATTGTTTCCCTTCTTAATGTGGCAATTGCTTATATCATTGAAAGTCTCGAATCTCAGTCGTTGCCATGGTCTCCGCATTACTCCCAAGTTCACTAGACTCCCTAATCTTGAAGATTTGATCCTTGAAAAATTGCATTCGTTTGGTTGAGGTTCATGAATTAGTAAGTGAATTAGGGAGGCTTGTTTTCTTGAATCTCAAAGGCTGCAAAAATCTTAAGAAGCTTCCATATACTGGTCATTTGACATCCCTGGAAAAAACTCAATCTCTCTAGTTGTTCAAATCTTGATCAATTTCCTACAGAGCTAGAGAAGATAAAATCTTTAACAATGTTCAATGTAGATGGAATTGACATAAATAAAATACAAAGTATCACTAGTGATGTTAAACCATTGAGCTGTCTTTTCAATCCTTTCTTACTGAAACCAAGAAAATGTCCTGAATCCATCTGTTTTTCATTGGCATCTTTAGCGAGCTGTATGGTAACCTTAAGTCTTTCAAACTGCACTATGTCAAATAATGATCTTGCGAAAATTCTTGGTTGGTTTTCTCTGTTATAGAATTTGGATTTAAGTGGAAATCCTATTTATAGTCTTCCAGAAAGCATCAAAGGTCTTATTGGGCTTCGATCACTTAGTTTATATCATTGCACAAGACTACAATCACTGTCGGAACTTCCGATAGGTGAATGCAGTTCACTGGAGATGATAACAAATATTCCTAATTGGACTACATATCTGGGTTTGAACACAGATGGTTGTGAAAAACTAGTTGAGGTTCAAGGGTTTTTCAAGTTAGAGCCCATTGGCAATGCTGATGCAAAAATAATTAACAGCTTGGGCTTAATTGAGTTGGAATCCATGGGAAGCCTGGAGGTGGACTTGTGGAACAACATAACAGACACACACAAGAAATATCTACTTCAGGTATGTTTTCTATCTATCATTGTGAGTATATATATATAGTTGTTGTATATATAATTCATAGTTGAAATTTTTATGAATAACATGGCATACGCGTGTGAATGTGGTATATACAGCATATTTCTTCCTAGGAGTGAGGTACCATGGTGGTCAAGCAATAAGAGAAGTGGGCCATCCATATGCTTCACTGTGCCTTCAGTGACTTCATTGCCTGATCTCAAGATCCAAGCCTTGAACGTATATGTTCTCTATGCATTTGCCGATGAAGATTTTGAGGGGGGTGGCGATTTTGAGTGTATTATTATTCAAAATAAGACCAAGGGTCCCACATGGCATCATAGCCCAACATTCATATGTTGTCCAAACGAAAACAACGATGCGGTATGGTTAAGCCAATGGATGATTGCGCATTAGTTAATGGAAGTTGGCGATGATGTGAATCTCTTAGTGCATTTAGTTGAGGGTTTTAAGGTAAAGGAAGTTGGGTTCCAAATTGTGTATGATGAGCACCTTGAGAATGTTGGAGATTTATCAGAATATTTTTCGGACGTGCGAGATGATAATTTTCCATGCCATCATCAGCGTCATCATCTATGTTGCTAAGTGCTAACTACAAACAACAGGTAGTAGTATCTTTCCATTTGATAGATATAATTAGTAAAAGGGTAAACTACATACTAAATTTTTTTCAAATTTGGAGAAATTACAATACATTCTAATGTGGTCATTATAGTGCATATTTTGTATATTAAATGTATACTTTGTTAGACTATTTTATATTTTATTTTGTCTTATTTTATTTATTTGTGTATTTGTTAGGTATCTTCGAAGTTGTGGAAACAAGATGACAAATTGAAAGACAACTTGGTGCCTAGCCTAGTTGGTTAGTGGGTGGAGATCTCAAGTCCAAGTGCCGTACACCTACAGAGGAAGTCAGGATCTCAAGTTCAGGATCCCATTTTAGACAATGTTGTTGATACTGTATTTTAAGATGTCTGGATTTTGTGTTTTAAGTGTTTAGTTCTTTTAAGTTTAGGATCCCACTCTATGGGTTTGTATTTTAAGTCATTTAAGGCATTTGGAATTTGTGTCTTAAGTTTTTAGTTATTTTATATGTCTTTTTGAAATATGAGCACTTTTTTTTTTTTTTTTTATCAGCACTGTTGACATTATATGATAATTATTTGGTATTGGACAATAATTTTAATAAATGTAATTATTTATAGTAAGAAATTTAAAACGGTACTCAAAAACATTTTTGATACCAATATGTACCGTATTAGTGAAAAAAACGGTTCTTTGCTTGGGATTAACATCTTTTATTTTATATGTCTCAGATGCCATTTCAAGTGCACAGGATCCCATTTTTTGGCTTATTTTGAGAAGTAGATTAAAAGTTGATTTTTTATTTTTTGACTTTTTTAAAAAAAAAAAAATTATGTAAAAAAAAAAAAAATGATGTGAACTAAAAAGCTAATAACTTAACTTTTAGCTTAATTGCCAAAGGAAATATCAAGTCCATATATGTGCTTTACACCAATAGGGTATCCCATTCCACTACCTAAATATCAAGTCCATATATGTGCAGAGGAAAATTATTATTATTAGGGGATATTTGAGTAAAATACACCTTAACTCTTTTATATTTGGTCATTTTTTTTTAATTTTTATTTTGATCCTTATATTTTTATTTTGAAATCCAAAATTTCAAATTTCAAATTTCAAATTTTGAGAGGTTGATAAATTGAAAAGTTTAGAAGGGGATTAGAAAGTTGGAAGTCATGATGCATTGGTAAAATGAAAAAGAGCAATGGTAGAGGGTCCAAATTTTGTGGCTCAAATGTGGTTCAAATGGCCAAAACGACGTCGTTTTGAGTACAAAACAACATCAAAATGGCCAAAACGACGTCGTTTTGGCCATTTGAGCCACAGAATTAGGGCCCCCAAACATTTTTCAATGAAAAAAGGGAACTTGCTTTTTTGAAATAATTAAGAATAGCCCTTGGGATCAGTGTCCTCCTATATGAAGCTATCTTTGGGCTTTTTTTACTTTATTTTTATTTTTATTTTTGGCACTTTCAGTGTGGTTCTTTCCTCGTGTACATTTTCGAGGGATTTAATTATGCATCAAAGTTGGGCAGACAGAGTGAGGAGTTTGGATTATGCATCAAAGTTGGGCAGACAGAGTGAGGAGTTTGGAACTGAAAATGTTTTGATGATGATGCCTTTTATTTTAGGGTAACTTACACTCACTTTTTTTAAAGTTTAGAAAAAAAAAAAAACAAATAATTCTATACTTTAGACATAATTACTCTGACATTTCTTACATTTTTAATTTACAGAATAGTTAAGTCATTTTTCATTAATAATTCGTTAGTCGTATAAAAAAAAAGAATGATGTTTCATCTCTTCTCTACTAAAATGTATGTACATCTTGTTTATTTGAATGTTTAGTATCTGCATTAGTTTCAATTGATTTGGCTTTATAAAAAAAAAAAAAAGGTCAGTGTAATTATAATATAAGTACGGAACTAATTATATTTTTCCCAAACCTCAAGAGTAAGGATGGCCATGACACGGGTTTGGGTAGGGTTTGCCATTCCCCGCCCCTGCGGACAAACTCCACCCCTGCCCAGGCACATCCCCGCTACGAGTGGAATTTTTCAACCCCATCTCTGCCCCCGCGGATACCCGATACTTGTGGATACCTGACCACATTTCAAATAGTCAAAAAAATTGATAAACATTTAAATCTTTAGCACACTAAATAATTTTTCATGTTTCTATATATATAAACAATGAGACTTTTAGGATTATTATTTATTTATATTTAAATAGAACTATATACTTTTAGTATTCTTTTCTTATATCTAATTATATTATATATACATACATATATATTATTAATTATATCGGGTCGGGTTTGGATTAGGGGAGGCACCCCTGCCCCTGCCCCACCCCTCCCCGTTGTGGGTAACCAAAACACAATTCACCCCCGCCCCATATAAGTGTCGGGACAAGTAAAATTCGGTCCATTCAGGAGGGTATGGATGGGTTCCCGCAGATCGGATTAAAATGACCATCCCTACTCAGGAGGGATAAGTGTAATTTATCCATGTTGAAAAGGTTTTTTAGACTGTTCCCTTATCTCAAATTCCTATTCTATCACTGGATCAAGTTGCATGATAGATTCACTCATAATCCCTTAGGAATGAGAAATTTATGTTTGCAGAGTTAGATGTCTAAGGCAAAAGGGGACTATTTTGTTAAGCAGAGTCTTAAAGTCCTCATCTTGTAAACTAATGGTGTGTAGGTAGGTACTACTGATCATTAGTGGTGATTGCGGAATTTCTTCAAGGATTTGGAAAGAGACTGAACACATCAGTGGAGTCTCCTTACATTTTGCATTTTCTGTTTGGGGTTTCTATGTAGGTTCTTTGACCATTTTCTGGCAGCCCTTGTTAAAGCATTTTTAATGGGATGATTAAAATTGTATCTCAACGTGTGTTAATTAACAAAAAAAATGATAAAAGTAAGATATCATTTTGTGTGTTAAATATTTTGTTAGTTTTGTGTGAGTTGCAGTTGCTACCTTCTCATTGTCCCAAAAGACAACTAATTAGATTAATAGGCTAACTGCCATATCCTTTCAATTTTTGCTTAAAGACTAAAATGTCATGCAATAATAAATAAATAAATAAATCAGAAACATGACACAATTTAATTATATCATAAATTACACGTAGTCAATAAAAAAAAAAATTCTAAAAATTATTAGTTTGTACAGCATTAGTTTTGCTTCATAATATTCAATCACTACATTAACATATATTTTTCTTATGAGAAATGTTAGACACTTTATTTTATTGGAATAAATTAAACACCTATAGTTTAAACCCACAAATTCATCTCACAATGCTATGACAATGGAATTGGGTCTTATATGATTAAATGTGTTACAAATTAAAAATCAACGTATCTCATGCTACATAATTATGGATCAAATTATATAAATTTTTTAAGAGTCTCAAACATTTTTTTTTTCAAATTTAACAGACCCAGTTATATTTATCTCATTTATTAGTTGAGGTACAGTATAATTTATTCTAAAGAAATAACAATAAAAATAGTTACTTGACTTGACCCAATTTATTATTATTATCTTTTCTGTGCTTGTGCATTCCAACTTTCTCAGCAGCATCATGTATGCCCACCACTTTAATGTAACGCCCCCAAAAATAATATCATAAATACATCCATAAACATGCATAAATGATAGCATAAATTAGAGTCTTAGTCCTTTCATTACATAATGTTAATGATACAAAAGAGTTTGATAGAAGTAAATACCCTATTGGCTTACACCTTTTCAAGCCTTGACTTGGTTACAACAAAATGAGCTTCGCTTAATACACATTTAGCCCTAGGCTATACAAAATAAACAAAACATGAGGCTCTTGCTTCCCAAAGGCCCCTCTAATGCGATTGCCTTGATGGAGGCATGCCATCATTACTTGAAAATGTTATTCCCAAATAGGATGAGCCACAGCCCAGTAGAAATTATCTAACACAGTATATGAAACTTAGCAAAGTTATAAGTACAAGTGCATAAACAATGCATGTGGTAAAACTTTTCACAACTTTATATACTCATAAGATATCAATTTCAAGTCTTAATCCATTTACTTTCAATTCATATTCCGATCACATACCTGTTTCAATTCATATGCCAATTTCATTGTTTCTCAACAACTGAACTAAGGCTACAACTCAATTACTTTCAATTCACACAAAACATATGCATAAACACTTCAAACTTCCATTTCACGGATATTTCGTCTGCGGGCAGCCGTCAAACGAGACCCATGTAAACGTAGGCTATAGAAGCACTACAATTGCCATTTTACGGATATTTTGTTAGCGGACTAGGCACCCATGTATAATTTTGGGACTTTCACCCAGGACACTCCGGCCAACTTAATTATAATGGAGCCCATCCTCTTTCTCCTCCGAAACAAATCATCCATACATATGCAATGTATTTAAACCTATAATCAAACATGGAGCACATCCCCATTCCACTCCCAAACAAACATACATATACAATGTATATAAACACGATCATATTCAATGAAAAACCATCAAAAGATTAGTTTCAATTCACCTAATCCACATGAAATGTCTACAACAATCAAAGTTATCCTCCACCGATAGTCCAATACTGTTATCTCTAGACATATATTCAATCTCAAACAGATAGTTTATTCAAAACTATCGAAAGAATGAGTTAATACATAACCAATGCCACCATTCATATCAACACCCTCTCAATTTCACATTTTCAATGCCAATTCCAATTATTTGTACAAAATAATAATTTGATCCAATTAGGGAAGCTTCCCTATTTTTTCCAAAACATTAGTCAAGTGCCAAAATTATGAAATTAAACATAACACAGCATCATTTTCAAACCCCACAAGCATTTATTTCACCTACACCCAAAATCCCTCTTTCATTTTATGTCCAAACCCTAGGTTTGTTTAAAACATCCCCAAATCACACCATTGTTGCACAAAAGACAAATAACTAAGCTAAATATCATATGAAGGTGTAGAAAGAACCCTACCTCATAGGAAGAAGATGAGCCAAACAAGAGAGAAACTCCAAGAATGCCGAAACCCACTTTTATTCGGATCGAAATGTAGATCTTGGGATGCTCTATCTTTTTCTCAAAAGTACTAGGGTGAAAAGATCAATGGATCTAGATGAAATCTAAGAGAGAATCAGAATTTTAGAGAGAGAGAGACTCAAGAACAAGCTTTTTGGAAAGTTAGAGAGAGAGAAAGAGAGACAGAGAGAGAGAAGAAAAGTGATTCAAAATGTCATCTTCTCGGACTGTTATATACGCAGTCCACTTGAGCGTGGAAAGCCCCGCTCGAGCATAAGACCCAAGGTTCCGCTCGAGCGTGAAAAGTGGTGCTCGAGCATAAGATACACACTTCCAGAAGTTTGGTAGATGAAGGTCCCCACTCGAGTGTAACGCCCCGAAATAATTTAACATAAACTAACCACGTCAACTAACATTCACTAAATAATGACAATAAACCTTCCATCTTTACATGATTAATGAACAAGCTTATACAAAAGTTTCACATGCGGTTACACATTCAATGGTGTGAAAAATATATGAATCTATAGCATGTGAAACATCTAGTCCTGAGTAATTAAAATGCCCTTAAGGGCATACATCTTCCAAGGCAATAACGCGATTACACAAAATGGTCTCTTGGACCCATACATGTTTAGCCCTTGGCTTACAAAAAATTACAACAAAATAAAAGAGCAATCTACTTTTCACAAAATATATCCACGCCCTCAACTCGACGGGATCATCACATCTTTACTTGCACCAAAACCCCATAGGGGTGAGCATAAAGCCCAGTAGAGAATCCTTACAAAGTATATATAGTTATGCAAATTTCCCCAACATTAAATGCAAATGTAATGCCATGCAAATGCCATTATAATGAAGAATTTAATTTCATGCGCTACTTGAAAATCATTTCAATAATATTTTGCAATCTCATCAATTTCAAAACTTCCAATTTTTAATCAATAGGGGCGGTAAATACGACACAGGTAATCCCTAGGTTGGTGTCTGCAAGTAGGCTCAACAAGTACTACCAATAACCCAACTTTATCGGTTGCTAACCGGAAGGAAAGTGGTACCTCCTCCGCGCGTGTTTTCGGTCTTTCACCTCGGACACTCAGGCCAACTTATCAATTCATCTACACCTCCTCACTGGACTTACCAACGTATTTACCCCATACACATTTCCGTTGTTTTCGTTACCAAATATATATTTCTTTCTTGAAGTAAATGTTTCCAATCTAAATACACAATACATAATAAGTAATTCCATGCGAATGCAATGCAATGTTCTTCCATGCCTCATAGCATTTCTTCAATTCAAGTAACTTGACAACAATATCAAGTAAATACGTTTCTCATTTCCCCTTTTCAATGTTATTTCACAAAATAACCATATGCTATCAACTCATAGCAACAACAATTTCTCATCATGCACAATTCATAACAAGTTAACCTTTTCAAGACTATATGTGATGTTTTCAACATTAATCCGCAAGATTTACAATTCCCACAATCCATAGTACACACCAATTTGCCA